CCACAAGCAAATTGGGCCCTTCTGGTGCTGGTTCCCGGGTGTGTGGGCTTGTGTACATTCTAGGACCCTGTGTATGGGTCTCTCCAACAAACTCTCCTGTTTGTCTGGGTGCCTCTCTCTGCACCTCAACCCCTGAAAGTGTTTCCAATTGGTGCTTTTAGGCTTTATTTCCTGTCACTGGGGCCCTGGGTTGCATGGTGTGTCTCACTGACCCTTTTGAAACCTCCCTGGTTTATCTGCATGCCAATGTGTGTCCATGGTCAGCCAGCTGCCTTGCGCCCTCACTGGGTTGCCTGCTGCCACCCCGCGCATGGGATCTGCCAACCACTGTCTGCGGGCCTGGGTCAGTCTGGCAGCCACCACTTTTTCCTGCCGTCACCCCTCTCCACCGGCCAACTCTGCCCCTCTTACCAGTCTGGATGAATGGTTCGTTGTTGTCGGACTTCAGTACAGTTCAAATTTCTGTCTGTTTGGTTGTGTTTTTGTTTCTAGATCTTTGTTGTCCTTAAATTTGGTTGTGCAAGAGGTACAATGTTTCCACTTATGCCTCTATCTTGACTAGAAGTTTGTTTATAAATTTTTGTTGTCCTTAATTCTGCTTGTGCAAGGAGGCACAATATGTCTACCTATGCCTCCATCTTGGCCAGAAGGCAAGCTAAAATAATTTTAAAACTTATCAGCATCCTCTAAATTTACAAGCCCATACTGAAATTTCAGTGTTCCTGATCTACTACACAAACCTACTCCCACTAAGAATAAAATCATCTTGCTGTGAAATGTTAAGGGGAAAAAAGATATCCTGATGTTTTACTAATAATACTTAGTAAATACTCTGATGGTTATTAATTTTACATACAGTATTTAAACACCTGACTAATAGATGTGCCCTTATTCAAGCACATGACTGCCATTTCAAAACGGGCCACACAATTCTGCACTGTCTGCTCATGGTTGGCCAGTCTGAATCTACTTAACCTTCACAGCCTGCTTCTTAAAAATCAATTTAATCAATTCTTACCCCCTGCCCCACAAAAATACTTGGATTCTATTCCTTCTATATCTGAATATCTATATTTCACCATAGTTTAAAATCTAAGACCCACCTTGAGCAATATGAACAGGACAGAAAGGAGAAAGGAAGGGGGAAAGAAAAAGGGAGAAAAGAAGGAAGAAAAAAGATCTTATAAAAATTTTCACCCCAAGCCCTGGCTGGTGTAGCTCAGTGGAGTGAGCTCGGGCCTGTGAACCAGAGGATCGCGGTTCGATTACCAGTCAGGGCACATGCCTGGATTGCAGGGGACACATGAGAGGCAACCGTACATTGATATTTGTCTCTCTCTGTCCTTTCCCTCTAAAGATAAATAAATAAAAAATATTTAAAAAAAATTTTTCACCCCAAACATTTTCACTTACCTTGCCCAGAATTATCAAAAGCAGCCCTCATGTACTCTTTCTGTTTTAAGATTTTATTTATTTTTAGAGAGAGGAGAAGGGAGGAAGAAAGGGAGGGAGAGAAACATCAATGTGCTAGAGAAACGTCAGTCATGGCCCCAACCTGGGGACCTGGCCTGTAGTAACCCAGGCATGTACCCTAACTGCCAATCAAACCTGCGATCTTTCGGTTCCCAGTCTGACCCTCAATCCACTGAGCCGCACCTGCCATGGCTCTATATGCTTAATACTGCAAGTAATACTAATAACTTTAACCTAACCAGCCTTAAAAATAGCAGAAGTAGCCACTACCACTTATTAAATATTTATTATGTATCAAGTGCCTTGCCAAATACTTTGTATTACCTCACTTAATCTTTCCTGCAACTTTCCAAAGCAAGCTGTAAAGATTTGAAGAGATTCACCTGCCGAGTCTGCACAGATCAAGGAACTCAGAATCTGACCAAGGTCTATCCTTTCCACAGTCAAAGATATTAACCACTATTCTCTTTTATTCCCCGGCTTTTACTCCTTTCATTACCATAAGACTGAAACAACATAGCATGGAAATCCACATGCACAAAAATAACCTCGACCAAAACTTTACACCTAATACAAAATTAACTGGATCATGGTCTAACATTTAAAAAAAAGAAAACTACACCCTGGCTGGTGTGGCTCACTGGATTGAATGCTGGCCTGCAAACGAAAAAAAAGGAAAAACTATAAAAAGTCTTAGAAATTTGTGGCTTAGGGTTAGGCAGAGTTCTCTGACACGACATCAAAAGTATGATCTATAAAAGTAAACTAATAAATTGGACTTTATAAAAATTTAAAACTTTTCTCTGCAAAAGACATTAAGAAGAGAATGAAAGACAAGCTATGTACTGGGAGAAAATATTTGGAAATCACCTATCTTTAAAAGGACTTGTATCTAGGATACATGGGCAAAATATGTACATCTCACCAAAGAGGATATAGAATGGCAAAAAAAAAGACATAAAAAGATGTTCAACATCATTAGCCATTAGAGAAATACAAACTAAAACCACAATAAGATATCACACCACTAGTACAATGGCTAAAATTAAAATGCCAACACCAAATGCTGACAAGGGCACCAAGCAACTGGAATTCTCTCACGTTGCTGATGGGAATGCAAAATGGTACAGACACTCTGAAAAGGTTTGTCAGTTTCTCATAAAGTTAAACATATACCTACCATATATCCCAGCAATCTCACTCCTGGCTATTCACTTTAAAGAAATAAAATAAAGAGAGGGAGAAAAATACTGATGTGTGAGAAACACATCGACTGATTACCTCTCACATACCCCGAACTAGTGACCTTACCCACAACCCAGGCATGTGCTCTGACTGGAAACTGAACAGGCAAACTTTTGGTTTGCAGGCCAGCATTCAGTCCCCTGAGCCACATAAGCCAGGGCTATACATAAATGTTTATACAGCAGTTCTATTCATAATTGCCAAAGACTGAAAACAACCCTAATGTCCTTCAATAGGTGGATGGATAAACAAACAGGTGCATCCATATAGTGGAATACTACTCAGCAATAAAAAGGAAAAAACTACATATAAACAACTTGAATGAATTTCAAAGGCATGATGCTGAGTGAAAAAGGCAGCCTCAAAAGGCTGCACATTGTATGATTCCATTTCTGTGGCATTATCAGAAAGACAAAACCACAGTAACTGAGAAGAGATCAGGGACTGCCAGGATTTGGGGTAGGAAAGAGTCACCTATGAAGGGATATGAGGGACTTTGTTGATGTGCTACAACTATTCTGTACCCTGATTATGGTAGGTGGCTATACAAATCTATACATGTGTTCATATTCATAGAAATGTATACCCAAAAAAGTCCATTTTACTACATCATAATTTTTAAGGTAAAATAAAAATTTTTAAATTCTTCTGGGGATAAGCAGTTTATCTAAACAGGGGTTACCTCTTACTAAATACCAAAATACATTCCAAAAGAACCAAAAAGTTAAATGTAAGTTATGAAATAATACTGACCTTATTATATATGAAGTTCTTACAAATACATTACAAAATGAACACTCTCAGAGAAAAATCGACCAAAACATGAAGAACAGTTAAACATATGGAAAAGTCTTAATTTACGAATAATCAAATAAATGAACAATAAAGCAATAAGCTAATAATATTTTTTGTCCACTGGATTACAAAAATATATATATAAAAGAATATTAACACCCAGGATTGGCAAGGGTAGGAAAGAAAACCTACAGAAAGCTATAGTTTAGAGTATAAAATGCTGTAGCACTTTCTGAAGGTAATTTGGATATAATATCAAAAGCCTCCAACACATACATACTCTTTTTCCACTTCCAGGGATTTACTAAGTAAGAAACTAATTAGACTAGTGCAGAAGAACACTCATAACATCATTATTTATAATAATAAACAGAATAAACATTAAATAAATTATTATATAGTCCTGTATCAGAATAGCACACAGCCATTAAAAATCAAGTCATCTGAACAGTTACTGAAATCAGATCACATCATTTTAGTAATCACTACTATAATTTCCTTCCCGGTCTCCAAAGCAAAGGTAAACTATTAAGGTTTTTATTCAATGACAAAATAATCATGGTATAATGATTAAATTTCAAAGAAATTTAATGATTATAAAAAAATTATTTTAAAGAAATAATCATGGTATAATGTTAAATTTCAAAGAAAACAGGATATAAAACCATATACAAGACACTTTTTTTTAATGTGTGTGTGTACACACACACAAACATACAATATTATCTATCAGTGGTGAGATTATGGGTGACTTTTCATTAATCCTTTCTGTATTTTCTATAAGTATATATTACTTTCATAATTTTTTAAAAAATCAATACTTCTTTAAATTACCTAAACGTATATCCAAAAGAATTTTAAAACTTATTTTAATCTAAATTATCTGCTATTATCCTGGTCACTAGCATTTCACTGTTACATAAGTTTAAAAATTTCATATGCATTTGTTTTTTGTTACTAACCCCAAATTAGCCCTGACTATCCTGAGGTGGCATTTCACTGACATCGCCATCCACAAGGTTCAGGATACTGTGTATATTAAGATGATCTTTCTGTGTCTTAAAATTTTTTAAAAATATTTCAGTAAGCTCTGGCTGGTGTGGCTGAGTGGATTGAGCACCAGCCTGCAAAGGGTCACTGGTTTGATTCCCAGTCAGAGCACATGTCTGGGTTGCAGGCCAGGTCCCCAGTAGGGGGCACATGAGAGGCAACCACACATTGATGTTTCTTTCCCTCTCTTTCTCCCTCCCTTCCCCTCTCTAAAAATAAATGAAAAAAATTTTTAAAGAATATTTCAGTAATATATAGACACTTATGTGCTGATATGTCTATATGTATTTTTTTCAGCTCAAAATTAAAAGGAAACATCAGAAATGGTTACCTTTTTTGGTAAGAGATTTGTATCTACTGTTTCAATTAAGAACCATTGTTGTTTTGTACCATCATTTTCTCTTAAACCTTTTGCTTTGTTTTGTTTTGCTGCTTACCATGGAGCACTTCTCCAGTACTTCCTCTTGGAACTTCAGGAATCGTTCCTGAACCTCAACTTCATTGAGGAAAAAGGCAAGGAAGTGCGTGAAGGGCTGCTTTCTTCTGAAAGTGAGCAAAAGAACATCAATCCGAGTTCGGGCGGAAATTACACCACTTCGATGCTGGCCAGTGATTACTGCAAACAAAAAAAGGGGTTAACGCACTCAAAAATCATCAAATGCTAGTAAGACAGGTGACCTCTAGATACTGTCATCTGTAGGGAGCTGTCCTGAATATGTATATAATTCTGAACAGGGAACAATACCAAGTGTAAGAAATAAAATGAATTCAATCTAAGCAGAATAAGATCTAAAAACAGAATATCCTTTCTTTTTTAACTTAATGGGTTTTCTTAAAGATTTTATTTATTTATTTTTAGACCCGGGGGAAAGGAGGAAGAAAGAAAAGAAACATCAACATGACAGAGTATTGATTGGTTGCCTCTTGCATGGGCCCAGACCAGGGGCTGAAACCACAACCCAGGCATGTGCTCTCACCAGGGATCAAACCAGTGACCTTTTGCTTTGCAAGAAGGACGACACCCAACCAACTGAGCCACACCGGTCAGGGCCTAATGATTTCTTTTTTTAAAATTGATTTTAGAGAGAGAGAGAAACATTGATTTGTTGTGGCACTTACTCACTTCTTTATTGGTTGATTACAGTATGTGCCCTGACAGAGGACTGAACCCACAACCCCGGCATATCGGGACAACTCTCCAACTGGGCTGCCCAGCCAGGGCTAAAAACAGAATATCCTTAAAAACCAGCTAATGAACTAGAAAAATGAGTTCAAAAGATATAAAGTAAACCCTCGTGCCACGTTGATGGGAATGCAAAACAATGCAGCTGCTATGAAAAAGTTTGACAGTTCCTTAAAAAGTTAAAAAGGAAATATCATATGACCCAGCAATTTCACACCTACATAGAAACTCAAAAGTAGTAAAAACAGGTGTTCAAAAAAACTTGCACACAAATGTTCACAGAACCAAAAATGTGAAAAAAATACAAATGTCCATCAACTGATAAACAAAAAGCGCTATCTCCATGCAATGGAGTATTATAAAAAAAGGGAACGAGGAACTGATGCATGCGAAAATACTGGTGAGTCTGAAAACATGATGCTAAGTAAAACAGAGAGATCAAAGAAGCCACATACTGTGTGTATGTTTCCATTTACAGGAAATACCCAGAACAGGCAAATTCAGAGACATGAAGCAGATTAGTGGTACTCAAAGACGGGGAAGGAAGGAATGGGCAATAACTGCTCACAAGGGCGTCCAACCTTTTGGCGTATCTGGGCCACACTGGAAGAAGAGTTGCCTTGGGCCACACTTTAAACACATGGCAACGCATAATCATGAAGACTCTCATAATGTTTTATGTAAATTTACGATTTTGTGTTGAGCCACATTCATAGCCATCCTGGGCTGCATGTAGCCTGTGGGCCACAGGTTGGACAACCCCTGGCTTAATGGACATGGCTTTTCCTTTTGGGGTGATAAAAAGTATTCTAAAACAAGATAGTAGTGATGGCCGCACAACACTGTATTATGTACTAAATGCTCCTGAAGTCAATCCTTAAAATAGTCAAAATGGTAAATTTTATGTCTAGAGGACAAATTAAAACCTACTACTAGATCATCTCCTTCTCTAGTCTCTCTAATTAAGGAGAGGCAAAAGAAAATGAATACATGGCAGCAAATATCACACCAGTGCAACAGCATTCTTGGTTCCACAACTTAATTTAATCTAACCCACAAATTTGATTTTTCCATATACATTACTCCCCTAAAAGACCAATAAGCCAGTTTATCCTCCTGTTTTCAATTAAATTAGTTCCGCCAAATTCTTACTTTTAACTATTAGACACGCTCATTTTGCACACTGAAATATCTGTGCTTTCTAAATCAAAATCTAATCTTTACACTACCTACCCTTTTCTGGATACATTTTGGAATGATTCAGTATCTTAAAATGACTAAGGTCTCCACATTTATACCATGTTATAAAAATTATTATGAAACTTCCGGTCAGGATGGAGGTGTAGGTAAACAGGCCTTGCCTCTGTGTACTACTACGCCAAAAAAATAAGCTATGCTACAAAACATCTATCACCAGAATTGTCAGGAAACTGAGCTGTGTGGAAGTCCAACAATGAAGGATTTAAAGAAGCCACATTCCTCCAGACAAGAGGGGCGTAGACACAGAGAGGCACAGAGAGGTGTACAGACAGGAACAGGCAGTCCCGCCACGTGTGGTGGATAAAAAAATGGAGGGATATCTTGGGAATGAGGGATCAGACCACCCAGTCCAGGGTTCCAGCACCAGGAAGATAAGTCCCCATAACTTATGGCTGTAAAAATCAGTGGGGGTTAGGGCGGCAGAAGAAACTGTATCCTCTTGAAGGGCCTGCAACAGACTGAGGACTCACACAGACGCACCCCTCTCTGGGATTTAGCACCAGGGCAACAGCTGGAAGGGCACTAGCGGCATATAGGAAGAAAGTGAAGTGTGAGTGGGGAGACAGCTTCCTCCTGGGCAATACTCCAGAGGCAGGCAGAGGCACAGTCTCTTCTGCAAGCCCTCCCCCAACACAAAGCGACACAGTAGTGACACAGGTGGCCCAGCCCTGGTGATTACCTATGGCTCTGCCCCACTCAACTTAACAGGTGCACTAAGACAGGGAGCCAAAGCAGCTCTACCTGATACACAGAAACAAACCCAGGGAAGCTGCCAAAAATGAAAAGCAAAGAAATATGGCCCAAGTGAAAGAAAAGAACTCTAGAAAAGAACTAAATGGAATGGAGATAAGCAAACTGTTAGATGCACAGTTCAAAACACTAGTTATCAAGATGCTCCAGGAACTCCTTGGGTACTTCAACGCTATAAAAAAGACCCAGGCAGAAATGAAGGATGGATTAAGTGAAATAAAGAAAAATCTACAGGGAAAACAGTGAAGAGGATGAAGCCAAGAATGAAATCAACAATTTGAAACACAAGGAAGGAAAAAGCATTCAATCAGAACAGCAGGAAGAAAAAAGAATTCAAAATAACAAGGAGAGTCTTAGGAACCTATGGGACAACTTTAAACATACCAACATCTGAATAATAGAGGATGCCAGATGGAGAAGAGGAAGAGTAAGTAATTGAAAACTTACTTGAAAAAATAATGAAAAACAACTTCCCTAATTTGGTAAAGAAAACAGACATACAAGTCCAGGAAGCACAGAGAGTCCCAAACAAGTTGGACCCAAAGAGGACCACACCAACACACATCATAATTAAAATGCCAAAGGATAAAGACAGATAATCTTTATCTTTAAGAGAAAAGCAGATAGTTCCTATAAAGAGTACCTACAAAGGAGTTCCCATAAGACTAGCAGCTGATTTCTCAAAAGAAACCTTGCAGGCAAGAAGGGACTGGCAAGAAGTATTCAAAGTCATGAAAATCAAGGACCTACAACCTGGAACTCTATCCAACAAAGCTATCATTTAGAATGGAAGGGCAGATAAAGTACTTCCCAAACAAGGTAAAACTAAAAGAGTTCATCATCACCAAGCCATTATTATATGAAATGCTAATGGGCATTATATAAGAAAAAGAAGAAAATCAAAACGGTGAACATTAGAAAGGCGATAAATTCACAACTACCAATAATTGAATCCAAATAACAAACTAAACAAACAACCAGAACAGGAACAGAATCATAGATACAATTCAGCCAGGGCTGAATTAGCTTGGCATTTTTTTTATTTATTTTTAAATTTATTGATTTGAGAGAGAGAGAGAGAGAGAGGAAGGGGAAGAGAGAGAAAGAAAAAAACATCAATTTGTTGTACCAGTTATATATGCATTCACTGGTTGCTTCTTGTATGTGCCCTGACCAGGAATCAAATCCACGACCTTGGTATATTGGTACGATGCTCTAACCAACTGAGCTACCTGGCCAGAGCCAGAATCAGCTTGGTATTTCAATCATTACTCATAGTCTACAAAGCAAGGTAAAAACAAGGAAATACTTATGGAAAGGGTTGAACTTCATTCAAATTTGTAGGTTTCATTGGTTTTCTCTAATTCTAACTTGAAACAATTCACAAACACCATTTCAAACACCATTTCTTTTATGCTACTAAAGCATAAAAGAAATCTAATCACAACAAAATAGGGAAGCTTTATCCCCTCAGTACATGCTAAAGTATAAAATGAAGACTCAGGTACTCAATCACAATAAGGTTGTTTAACCACATCTTTCCTCATTTGGAGATTAATACTGATATATCATAAAAAGGCCAACAGCTACACAACCTCATAAAGGATAGTCACTATAACACCTGGGTTAGGTTACATCATTCCATACACATGAAAAATGGCTGCACCTGTAACATATATACTGGGTCTCACCAATTTCTCCTTCTTGTCCGAGTTTAGGAATACTAATAGAAGTTTTGGTCTCCATTTCTAGTTTCTTCCTTGTGTCCCCTCTCTTTCCAACTATATGCCTATAATATAAAGAAAAATTAATTATTAGAGATTAAACAAAAATGTATCAAAATAAAGAAATGCATCATGTTTAAATCTTATATAGCCAGAGATACTCCCTTACAGAGAAGGGCTTCAGTAAAGGCTCAATATCTGGGGTGACACCTGCAAGTCATATAGCTTTACATAACATGCAGCATTATACTCACTGACAAAACGATGTCCTACAGCCCAATCCAATGTAAAGATATACCAGTAGTAACTGTGCCCAATACCTGTTTGCTTCTCAAAATCTGGGTCTGCAGTTTGGTGAAAGTTGGTACAGTCTCAGACAATTCAGCCACCAATGGGACTACAGTTTGAGAAGGGGAGAACCTTGTCCTTTTGGAGAACAAATTAACTATACTCTGAGATAATCCTAAAGGAATTATCCTTGATTAATTAAATAAGGGTAAAGGGCTTGGCAAAGAGCAGGGTTCACCATTCAGGACAGATTCAAAAGCAGCAAGTAGCTTCTTCCCAAGGAAACACCAAATAGTGAATGACGCAGGTGCTGCAGGAGGGCCTGCAGGCCTTGGGGGCCCTGGAATGAGAGGCTGCAGCAGCTTCCACGAAGGGTTAGGAAGTGACAGTGGCATCGGGGCTGAGGTCATAGCCGGAGTTATGGTCAGGGGTGGGGACTAAGGCCACAGAGCTCGCTCAGAGGCAAAAACAAGGAGTGTATCCCTGTCCCCAAGCTGGGATGCCTGGTCAAGGTGATGAAGATCAGGTTCCTAGAGATCTATCTCTTCTCCATCCCATCAAGGAATCTCAGATCATTGACATTTTCATGGAGGTATCGGCAGGATGACATTTTGAAGATTATGCCCGTGCAAAAGCAGACATGTGCTGGCCAGAGGACCCAGTTCAAGGCCTTTGTCACCACTGGGAACTACAATGGACATGTAGGTCTGGGTGTTAAGTGTTCAAAGGAAATAAGACACTACTATCCATGGAGCCACCAAGCTAGCCAAGCCCTCTACTGTCCCTGTGCAATGAGGCTACTGGGGTGGGGGAACAAAATTGGCAAGGCCCACACTATCCCTTACAAGGCGACCAGCTGCTGTGGCTCTGTACTGGGGTGCCTCATCCCTGGCCCTGCACCTAAGCCACTGTGCCCAAGAAGCTGCTGATGATGGCCAGTATCCAAGACTGCTACACCTCAGCCAGAGACTGCACTGTGACCCTGGGCAACTTCACCAAGGCACCTGTGATGCTATATCTAAGACCTACAGCTATCTCGCCCTCAGCCTCTGGAAAGAAACTGTGTCTACCAAGCCTCCCTATCAGGAATTCACTGAACATCTTATAAAGACCCATACCAGAGTTTCTGTGCAGAGGACTCCAGCTGTGGCCACCACATAATTTTATACAAGAAAATAAAGGGAATAAAAAGTGTTAAAAAAAAAAAAGGCACAGCCACAGCCATGGTTGATATAGCTCAGTGGACTGAGCTCCGGCCTATGAACCAAGGTTCGCTGGTTCAAATCCCAGTCAGAGGACATGCCTGAGTTGCAGGCCAGGTCCAGTAGGGGGCACATGAGGGGCAACCACACACTGATGTTCTTCTCCCTCTCTTTCTCCTTCCCTTTCTTTCTCTAAAAATAAAATAAACAAATATTTTTTTAAAAATGTTTTAAAAAGCACAGTAAAAAACAAGAAACCTCAGGGGGCTGAATTCACATAGACGTATTTTATTTGGGAGATTTCACCTAAAAATTGATACATTTCAACTAAAAATTCAGATTTCTAGGTTTAGATCAATTAGAAGAACTGACAACTCATGGCAACAAGAGACTGGAATCTATTCTCAGCCCTACTGTCAGTCATGCACACTCCACTTCCACCCTCTACTAACTGATACGTTTACATTACGGGCCTAGCCCTCCTAGTACAAATAATTCCGACGATCCAAGGTTATTTTCTGGAACCCATGGTAATTAGACGTATTACAGTGAATGAGACTACTGGATTCCAGGAGAGAAGTTTCAGAGGCTATGAAACACTAAGAGACTATCACTGAATTATAGAATTAAGAGAAAAAAATGCTCTATTATCAACAGTATTTTGGCTTCTATGATTTCAACGTAGTAACCCAATAGTAGGGGTGACTATGTCTAAAACTGTAAATTTGCTTTAATTTTTTAAAGATTTTATTTACTTATCTTTAGAAGGGAAGGGAAGGAGAGAGGGAAAGAAATATCAATGTATGGTTGCCTCTTGTGCGTCCCCTGCCGGGAACTGGCTTGCAACCCAGGCATGTGCCTGACTGGGAATCAAACCACAATCCTTTGGTTTGTAGGCCCACACTCAATCCACTGAGCTACACCAGCTAGGGCTGCTTTAATTTTTTAAATATTATTTTATATTAGTTTAGGGATTACGGCATAGTGGGTAGACAATCATATACTTTACAAAGTGGTCCTCCCTTATCTCAGGTACCCATCTGGCACCAGGCATAGTTACTACGATATTACTGACTATGTTCCCTGTGCTGCACTTTCCATCCCCATGACTGTTTTGTAACTGACAATCTGTACTTCTTAATCCCTTCAACTTTTTCACTCAGCCCCTCCAAACCTCTTCTCCTGTCATCAAGAGAACAGTTTGTTCTCTGTATCTATGAGTCTGTTTCTGTTTTGTTTATGCATTTTTGTTCTTTATATTCCACATATAAGTGAAATCATACTGTATTTGTCTTCCTCTCTGACTTTTTTCACTCAGCATAACATCCTTTAGGTCTAACCATACTGTCACAAGTGGTAAGATTTCACTTTTTTTAAAGATTTTATTTATTTATCTTTAGAGGGGAAGAGAAGGAGAGAGGGAGAGAAATATCAATGTATGGTTGCCTTTCATGTGTCCCCGACTGGGAACTGGCCTGCAACCCAGGCATGTGCCCTGATTGGGAACTGAACCATGGTTGTTTGGTTCCCAGGCCCACACTCAAACCACTAAGCTACACCAGCCAGGGCTAGATTTCATTCTTTTCTATAGCTGAGTAATACTATTCCATTGTATATATGTACCGCAGCTATCTCATCCACCTGTCCGTCTACTGATGGGCATTTGGGACACTTCTACTTCCTGTCTACTATAAATAATGCTGCAATGAACACAGGGATGCATGCATCTTCTCAAATTACTGTTTTGAGTTTCTTTAGATATATACCCAGAGGTGGAACTGGGTATATAAGGCAGTTGGTAATAAGACACCTGGTAATAAGGCAGTTCCACTTTTAATTTCTTGAGGCATCTGCATACTGTTTCCCACAGTGGCTGCACCAGTCTGCATTCCCACCAACAGTGCAGGGGGTGCCCCTTTCTCCACATCCTCGACAACACTTGTTTGTTGATTTATTGATGATAACCATTCTGACAGGTGTGAGTGTGCATTTCTTTTTGGATGGGCTAACCACACCCAATTATTTCCATTGAAATCTATTACAGTAAGGCACTTCTAAAAAAACCCAAGATGGTTAGATGTTTAAAACAGGATTAGAACTCCTCAATTTACATGGAATTTTTCTGTGTTGGGCTAGAGATTCTACTGCCCAGCTCTGTCAGGACTTTCTTTCCAGGCCTTATCAGTAAGGGGTGCCTTCAACCAGGCCCTATTTGGGGCCAGTTGTTAGTGGACAAGCTTATCACAAAAATGTTAGTTGTCTACTCACCTTACTTAGAAAGGGAAATATTTGAGGGTTAAATAAGTTTTACACTCAAACAAACCTTGGGTAAGTCATTTACCCACTCTAAGTCTATTTCCTCAGTTGTAAAAATGAAGTGAATAATACCTATTTAGCCTAAGGTTGTTGTAAAAATAAATGCATTCATACATAAAAAGGGCTTCCCAGTGACTGGCACACAGCTCAGTACAGTCCATGCTATCCTCATAAAGCCCATAACGGCATCCACCCAGTTAAGAATGTAGGCAGGCTCAAAGGAGGTTTACATGGAAAGTCTAAGCCAGTCACTACAATAATGCAGATACACTGTGAAGGGCTACTGTTTTATTAAATATATGAATGGAAATTCCTACCAGATTGAGTGCTTCTCAATCTTGTCTACACACTGAAATTACCCGGGGTACTTGAAACACTAATGACACCTTGGTCCACCAGTTCCAGAGATTCTGATTTAATTGGATTGAGGTGCGGCCAGACAGCAAGAGTTTTTAAAGCTCCTCAAGTGATTCTAATGTGCACCTGAGGGTGAAAAGCACAGTATTAGATCTAATCCACAGATAGGTATTAACCACCACTAGGCTATGATTATAAATTCGTTAGCCAGGTAATTTTTCCCTTGATCTCGATAATCCTACAGAAATGATTCATAAAAAAGGAATCTTCATAATAAATACTGTCTATTAATTAGATTTAACAGAATCCATATCTAATCTAACATGCAAGTCATCTGATACAGTATTAATTAGAAAATACAGAATTCAGAGGATAAAGTTGAAATCATAAATCTGAGAAATTTTTACACACTTTACCAATAGCAGATATACACATTAAATAAGACACATTGCATTGACTTTATCAGGAACAGAGCCACAAATTTCTCCAATCATATTTCTTAGAAGAAAATGTCACTGAAACCTGAGAGGAAAGTGAGCTGTCACAGTTAACATTTGCTTTCCCATGTGGCCAAATTCCAGAAGAATTTTATCCTTAATAGGTATTTCAGGATACTCTCAAAGCTGTAGAAAATGAAACTATTGCCTCTTGAAACTTAAAGGTATATTTCCATATTTGTAAATCTCCTCTCATAAAAAAGACTGGACAGACTAATTCATGTGATACAACACAGAAAAAGAATTTATGGACTTCCTAGACAAGCCTATCTTCAGAGGTGTAAGCCCAAATGAAACCAGTTAGGCACATAAGCTAACCATATTAGTGGTTAATATGGGACAGAAAATGGTCAAGCAAGCACAGATTGAAGTGATAACCAAGTTTTCAAGCAATGTATAAACATG